CAAATTGCAGTTTGGGTGGGTAGATGTGTAATGATAGAGCATGCTGAGTTGTGTTGTGCTGTTTGGATCCAGATACTAGAATGGGTCACTCCCGGACCGACTCAATTCCTTCTGGATTACTTAGGCTGTGAAACCAGTTGGAAACTATTTTCATGTTGTGCATTAGATGGGTTAGGAATACATGGGGCTGTTGCTGTGACTAATATTTTGCTTTATATATATAATTTTATTTTATTTTTGTAAGCTCACCTTTCTATTTTTGTCTATGCTGTTGTGTGCATGTGTATTGCGATGATCGTACAGTGATACGTGAGCAGATGTAGCAGGTGTTGCATCTACTTCATAGGTTGAGGGGCCAGTGAAGAAATGTTAGAAGTTAGAGTCGAGTAGTTTTGCATTAAAGTCATTTTCTCTTATATTTTGAGACCTTATATAGAGGGAGTGATGTAGTAAGATTTTTGTGTATTTTGAGTATTATGAATTAAATGTAATATTATGTTATTCTGTTGGATATTTGTCATAAGGAATTCTGTTTATTTTGAATGAAAAGTGAATTGTATACTTATATTATTCGTTATTTATTTATCTCAAATAAGTAAGTGGTGTAGAAATAATGTTCTTGGTTCCTTATAAAAAGGGATCGTGACATTTTAGTGGTATCAGAGCATGGTCTAGGTAAACCTATGGGTAAGGTTGTTAGGTGTCAGTTGTGCATATTAGGCATATGAGTCTTAGCTGTGAACATATATTATAATTTCTAATCATCAGGTTGTGAGGAAATGAGCTTGATCACCTCGGTTCTCAAACACGATAGATGTAGAAAATTTTGGTATATGATACTTGGGTGAGCTATCGGTTAGTCATGCTGCATGAATAATAGGCTATTAAGCTAAGTTATAAATGATTGTTGAGATAATGTGTTTACTATGCTGTGTGAATGCTAAGAATGCTGATATGATGTTATGTTAAGCGCTAAATTAATTAAATTGTCATAATATACTGAATATGAATATATTACTATAAGCTTAATCTATGAATATAGCTATGTGTTAGTATTGCTGAATGTGTTGAAGGTTAGTAATCTAAGCTAACTTTATTCTGTATATTAAGATGGCTAGACTGAGAAGGTCTGTTGCAAACCCTCATCTTCTTGCTGACGTGAACCAAATGGCTCATGTTATGGAGGTTTTGGCAGCCACAGTGAGGCAAAGTCTAGAAATGAGACAACAGCAACAGGCTGCAAATCAAGCTGCTACTGCAGTACAAGTAGCAGCAGTCACTGTCTCAATTGTATAGTCTCCTGAATATTAGGGATTGTCTGAGTTCAAGAAGAACTATCCTCCTCAGTTTACTGGAGCTGATGGGCCAGATGCGGCTGAGCAGTTTCAAGGGTAGAAAGTAAAACATACCTACATGATAATGAATCAACAATCACATTGGACTTACCTTGCTTCTACTTGATCACATAATGAAATTGCTTAGGAACTCAATCCACTTGACATGTCTCTTGTTTGACTTACCTTATTCTTTCAAATATTCCACAGATTTATGATCACTTGAATAACAAATCATTTAGGTAAAAGATAACATTAGTTAGTTTGTAAAATCCTGACTAAAGCATATAACTCCTTATCATATGTAAGATAGTTAAAGGCATCACTCATTTAGTTTCTCACTAATATATGAAATAAGTTGTCCTTCATGCATTAAGGCAACTATTATCCTTACCCAAGATACATCACATTTAAATTTATACGATTTAACAAAGTTAGACAATGCAAGTACAAGAACATGGAAAACCTTTTCTTGTTTCTCCCTTCATTTAAAAACTACATGTTTCTTAACTAGTTCATTAAGAAGTGTAGTAATGATACTAAAGTCCTCGGCAAACCTGTTGTAGAAACTAGCTAATTCATGAAAGCTTTTCACTTCACTCACATTCTTTATAGTCAATCTTGAATTGTCCTTATTTTTTCTTTATCTACATACATGCCACTAGAATTAATTTTAAAACCTAAGAAACTACATGATCTTGAGAGAATGTGCATTTTTGTAAGTTAACATACAAATTTTCTTTCTTAAGAATATGTAAAACATATTTAATACTCTAAATGTTTCTCTAAATTCTTATTAAAAATAAAAATATAATTAAAATAACAATCTTTGATTCTTATAAGGCGATGATGTTCTCTTCCTCTTTCTACTTTTAACCATAGGTCAAATTCTAAAATTTCATTTTTGTAATATCCTCACATGTATTACTTTTAATATTTTCTTCAAGTTTTAAACTATTTCTCTAATGCGACAAGTGACTATTAAAAAAGGTTCTAAATTCATATTAATGACATCACACAAGGAAATAGTAATGAACAATTCTACAACTTACCAAACACAAAAATAAAGGGAAGAGATTAAGAATAAAGATTCAAGGAATCTCAAATTAATAAATTGAGACTAAACTAAACAAAAACGTGAATTTTTTTTAAAAAAAAAAATCAAAGAACAAGAAAACGAATCAACAAGTAGGTATAAATATGGATTTGAGTGACTTAATTCTTTATTAAGTCCTACAATTAAGAAATTTAAGAATAAACTTCACCTCCTTAATTATTCAAAATACTATACTTCAATTTTCTATCACACTACAAATCATTCAAACAACCAAGTACATTTAATCTTTGCATATGAAATTAACTCTCAAACAACCAACATGTAGCATTTTCTTCTTCAGTTTTGTATAAAACAGTCCTAAAATCTTACGGAGAACTAGATAATTTGTAGTCTGTTAACTTCAATTTTCATCATTGTAAGAACCGTAGTTTAACACACAATTTCAGCAACTTAAGTGCACAAATATAATTTTAACAAAATAAATATTCGAGTTCACAATAATACGATTTTTACGAGCTTATCATACATTAGGCTCATTCATATGATACTAAAAAGTCAAAATTTAATTTCTCGTTAAAATTTAATTTCAAACCTTATATTTTATTGCAAAGATTTTTGCTAGTCCAATTAGCCAGGTTCATTTTACCAGCCTACGTAAACAGGCTTAGGGAAAATAATTGACTTTGAAGGTTGAAGAAGTTTGTTAAAAAATAATTGAATTAAGACAATTTAAATATCTAAAGTACTTTATAGTAAAAATCTTGGCATACAGGAAAGAACTAGACTCAACTTTAATTTTGTAGGATAAATCAGTATAAATCTATGATATTTAACTTGTTTCTTTATTTTTTAAGTTTCATTTTTTAACCTTAAAATTTTACTAAATTAAAAAATTTTATGTTAGAAAAAGATAAGTTTGGTTAAAAAATTTATGTGCCTTACGTAATTTCCTTTTTAATGGATATACCTTACGAAAGATGAAAAAATAGTATTAGCAGTGAATAAGCCATTACGCAAACATAGGAATGTGTATATAATGATTAAAATATCTTAAATATTGTTGATTTGTAAAATAAAAAGTAATTAAATATCATGATTAAAATAACTTTAAACTCATTTCCAAATAAAAATAATATTTGAATTTACAATTTTTTTAAAAAATAATTTTACCGAGAAAAAAATTATGAATTTTGGTTTTTTTTTTTTATTTCATTTTCCATATTCATTTTGCCTAAAATAAGTATTAGGATAAGGGTATTGTTAATCTTAGCATGTCTAAGAATTTATAAATAAATAAAATTAATTAAAAAATTATATTTATTATATTAAAGTTATAAAAGTAAAATAAATAATTTCGTTTTAAATAAAATTTATTAATATTAGTTGTTTATCTTTAGGCCAATGTTAACATTTTCCTTAAGATAAACAATGTCTTGTAAGATATTGAAATGAAGATTTTATGAATCAAGAATTAAAACGACTGACATTTATGATTCTTGAGTAAAACAAATTTACTAAAATACATTCATAGCTTTTTTACATGAGATTAATTCATTTTAATATAAATTAATATAATTTATCTCTTACAATTAACATATTTATATATTTTAAATTTTTATTTTTCTATAAAAAATATACTTTATTCATTAATATATTAAATCTCTTGAGTTTGATTGGGCATAGTGATTCTATTCAGCTTGAAAGAGATTGTCTCTGATGAATGTAATTTAAATATAAAAATTTCTTTAAAATAAAATTTATAGTTTTGACTCCTGTAAGAATTGTAATGTTTAATCATAAATTAGTATTAAGTTATTTTTAATATATAAAATATGGGATCCCTAGTGCACCTAATATGGAAGTATTTAATATACATGTTAAATATTGAATAATCATTGAATTGATTTTGTTTAAGAAAGCTTTTCTATTTAATATCTTATCATATGTTCAGAAAACAGAAAAAAATGATAAAATATAATGATTTAATGAAATTCAACTCGAACTTTTAGATTACTGGTTAATAATCCGTGCAATGCATGTGTATTTTATTTTATACAAATTAATAATTAAGAAAGAATTCTATTTTTGTAAATAATTATTACATATATAATGTAATTTTATAAATATAAATAATATGTATCAAAATGATAAAAAAATTAATAAAATAATAATAATTTAAAACAATTTATTTAAAAGAATAAAAATAACATATTTATGAATTTTATATTTAAACAAAAATATTTGAAAAATGAAATTAAAAGTTTATATAAGGCAATAAAAAAAATTAAGTGACAGCTTTTATTTCTAAAATTAAGATCAAAATTACAAAAAAAAGGAGTAATTCACGTTATCACAAACAATTTTAATATTAATATTAACATATGGATTATTATATATATATATATATATATATATATATATATATATATAATAATCTTTCTCTAAATACTTTACTTTTTATGATATAGATCTTACACTACTCTATATTCAATCTAAAATATTGATTACTGAATATATTTGTGTTAATTTTTAACTTAGTCATTTGTTATAAAATATATAGGTGTCTTGGGAAGAAATTGTATTAGAGTTTCGAACTTTTGAAAACAGTGGGATTAACGGTCTCAGTATTTTATTTCATATAATAAGAATTTAATATATTGATAGAACACATAAATTATTTAATAAGAATTTCATAAAATACAACTTCAACTTAAATTATTTACGGTTTTCTGTCAATTAATTGCCTTCTACGTTTCTTGTATTAGGTGAATGGAACGCGTGTGCGACGTTTTCGAATCTTCATTTCATAGAAGACTTCACATGTAGACAACCTTGACGACTATAAATAAAACCAAAAATCAATTGACCCGTACATGTCTTCTTCATCGCGCGTCTATTTACAAATCCAACCTCCTCTTTTCTTTTGGGTAATAAAACTCAGTTTGGTCTAAAGCTTCAGATCTAGCCTTTGCCTTTTAGAACCTTCAATGGCATGGGAAAGAAAGCTCCACTCAAGTTCATCAAGTGTGCTCCAAATTGCCCTTTCCACTTCAGCATCTGCAACCTTTCAACAATACCAAGACATTATTATTGGGACAAACAATCTTAATCCTGTTTTATGATTTATGTTGTAGATGCCACATGGTAACAATCTAGTTGGTTACACACAAACATACCTTGGTCTCTGTCTCTAACGCTGCAAACAACTCATGCGGGGAAAAAGTTGATTTGATGCTTCTGGTGTCCACTCCACGGTATTTCAAGCATTTGAGGGTCTCAATCATAGAATCTATCCCCGAAGTAGGATATGGAACTCTTAAAAATTGAACTTTGCTTCCCTCAACTCTGTTGCTCTTCACGTCTTCAAGATTTGCTTCAAGAACAACATTTTTCCTCTGCAACTCTTCTCTGCATCCTTGTAGCCGAATGATCTCCTTGGCTGCCATTTGAATTACAGAATTATTATCCGTCTGCGATTAAAGAAAAAGAAAAAAATAACCCAATATTAGAGACCTTGAAAATTGAAAATGGGTCAATGAATTAAAGACTCAGGCTCATCTCATATAAGTAAATTAATTTTTCAGTACTTTGGTTCCATGAGGTAACAACGCATGCAGGGCCAAGCAACACTGTCTCTGCCTCTGTCTCCTCATTCTTTCGTTAATCATGTGCCTAAAACAACGTTCTCTTTCATGCTCTGCTCCCGTGTTGCTCTCTGCGGTCAAACTTTTTCTCAAGAACGCAATCATTCTCTTACTCATGGTTTGAGAATTTGACCATTTTGGAGAATTGATTATGGGTAGTTCTCGATATTGAACGAAAGCACTTTGAGTTGAACGAAGAAAAGGTTGATCCTTCACGAACTGGGAATTCTGGAGAAAATCACTTTGGTTTGTGGCTAAGAGAGATTCATCCCAGAAAATCTCACCCAGAAGTTTCTCAGGAAAAAACCGATCCATGTGTTGGGTTTACTTTAATTTCCGCGGCGGTTGAGTAAGAGAAAAAGGGCGTTCCCAAGACTGAATTTATATGTTTGGGGAAATGGAGTGCAGCACATTGAAAACGTGGTCAATTACATTGTTTTGACTTGACCACACGTGGGTCAAAGTTTATACGTGCGATGAAAGTGTGGTTAAAATTGACGTATCTTCTTTGGCGCTTGCCCCCAATAAAGAATTAAGGAAACGGAGGACCTATTATCATTTATCAGTTATCACCCACCTTTTGAGAAAACTAGTCAACTTTCTTCCCATTGAAGATGGCACAGGGAAGATAAAAATACAACTCACTCCTTTCTATATATACCCCATATCCCAAATAAAGAATGCCAGTGTCCCTAATTTTATTTCTAAATAACAAATAAAAAATTAATAAAAAACTAAACATTCAAATATTAAAGATAATGAGCAATTTATTTGAGAGGTTAAATAGATTGACTCGACAGTGAATTCACGGATTGGTTATCAAAGAGTAAGAGAGTGAGAAAATAAGAGTTATTTTAAATATTAATTAATTAATTAATTAAAATAGAGAGAATAAATAAAAAAAGAGTAAATTTACTCAGAAGGAGATCCTTTCAAAATGTAATTTTAAAAAATTAGAGATTTTGAATGTTAAGTAAAATTTACATTTTGATAAATACACATTAGAGAGAACATCATTCTCTAACCAAGAAAAAAAGAGAAAAATTGAAAAAGAGATAGCAACTATAGTGAGGAAGGCCAACAAAAAGAAAAATAAAGAACAAAAGATACGGCTTGCAAGAGCATTTAACAAAAATATATTAAATAATACTTTTTCTATCTTTTCTCTTTTAAGTGTGTAATTTTTCTTGTATTGTATTTTTTATTTAAAAAAGCTAAAAATTCTCATCATTAAACCAATAATCTTGCAAATCCAATTCAAATATTTTCTACATATCATTGTATTTTGCAAGTCCTTGCATCTATGGTTTTAAAAGTAAATTTTAGAATTTATTCATACCCATTTCATTTCACTTGTCTTTATTTTTTTAATAAAAATTGTTAAGAGAAAATAAAACAAAAGAGCATTGAGTGAATTCGTGTGTCTCAACTACATACTAGAGCATATATTTATACTAGAAGCATTAATACAAAGATTAATTATAAAGATATTATGGTTACCTAATTACCATAATTACAGGAATATTATTTCTTTAAATGCAGCACATCATCTCCTTAATTACAACATTATTATAATTACATATTTTCATATTTATATATTTCTAACACTCCCCCTTAAGCTTGAGCATATAGATCATATGCACCAAACTTGCCCCATATGTAACTAATTCGAGGACCTCTCAAAGATTTAGTAAAAACATTTGTCAGTTGGTCATTTGAATTGACAAAACTTCTAGTGATGTCATTCGATAAGATCTCACGAATGAAGTGGCAATCGATCTCAATGTGTTGTGTCCTTTCATGAAATACCAGATTTGAGGCAATATGCAAGGCTGCTTGGTTATCACAAATAAGTATTATTTGTGTAATCTCCCCAAATCTCAGTTCTTTAAGAAGTTATTTTAGCCAGATAAGTTCACATATGGTTAAAGTCATGGCTTGATATTCTACTTCTGCACTTGAGCGGGCAACTACACTTTACTTCTTACTTTTCCAAGAAATCAAATTCTCTCCAATAAGAATGCAATAACTAGAAGTAGACCTTCTATTAATAGGAGAACCTGCCCAATCTGCATCAGAGTAACTGACAATCTGAGCATGACCCTTGTCCTCATACATGAGTCCTTTCCCTGGGGCTCCTTTGATATATTTTAAGATGCGAATCAATGCGTCCCAGTGTCCTTCGCAGGGAGAATTGAGAAATTGACTTACCACACTGACTGCATAAGAGATGTCTGGACGAGTGACAGTAAGATAGTTTTGCTTCCCAACCAATCTCCTATATTTCTTTGGGTCAGAAAGAGGCTCCCTTGACTTGGTAGAAGTTTGGAATCCATAGGAGTATCCACAAGTTTAGCACCCATCAAACATGTTTCCTCTAAGATATCCAATGCGTACTTCATTTGGGAAATAACAATACCATTCCTGGATTGTCCCATATTTATTCCCAAGAAATATCAAAGTCTGCCAAGGTCTTTTGTTTGAAAATGGTGACATAGGTGTTGCTTTATTTGTATAATGCCATGGTGATCATTGTCAGTAATAACAATGTCATCGACATAAACAATCAAGTAAATGCATCCTGTGGGTGAATGACGATAGAAAATTGAATGATCTGCTTCACTCTGAGTCATCCCAAACTACTAGACTACAGTGCTGAATCTGCTAAACCATGCCCTAGAAGACTGTTTGAGGCCATATAGGGATTTTCGAAGACGACAAACTAATTCGAAAGACTCCCCCTGAGCAACAAAACTAGGAGGTTGCTTCATATAGACTTCTTCAGTGAGATCACCATGAAGAAAAGCATTCTTGATGTCAAGCTGATAAAAAGGCCAATGGCGGATTGCAGCCATGGACAAGAACAAGCGAATAGACGCCATTTTGGCCACTAGAGAGAAAGTGTCACCACAATCCAAGCCAAAGATTTGGGTATAACCTTTGGCGACCAAGCGAGCTTTAAGGCAATCAACATGCCCATCTGGTCCAACCTTATCTGTGTAAACCCATTAGCATCCGACAACTGATTTGCCCGTTGATAGAGGAGCTAGGTTCCAAGTCCTACTGTTTTGAAGTGCACTCATTTCATCAAACATAGCTTGACGCCAACCAGGATGTGAAAGAGCTTCATCTAGATGTTTAGGAATAGAAACAGAAGACAAAGACGAAAGGCACATATAATGGAAGAAAGATAAACAATGATATGATAAAGCAACATAATGAGGAGAAGGATTGCAAGTGGAACATATACCTTTTGGGAAGAGAAATAGGAAGATCAGTCTCAGAAGGCAATGCCAGAAGAGGTGAATGAGTTGGAGTCAGCAGTAAGTCAGACGGAGTCCCTTCATTGGCCAGTGGTAGCACAGGAGGTAGGTGGGGCTGCCGGAGATAAACCTGTAAAGGAAGCAGAGGAGGAGCATCTGGAGGAAAGTCATCTAGTGGAAGTGGTGTCTCTGGGGGTTGAAAAACAACAGGAACAAGTGAGAGAGATGTGATAGACTGAGACGGTGCTGGAGAAGACTCAGACCTAAAGAAAGGAACAGACTCAAAAAAAGTAACATCAGCTAAGATAAAATAACGTTTAAGGGTAGAAGAGTAACACTTATAACCTTTTTGAGATCAACAGTAACCAAGGAAGATACATTTGTGAGCACGAGGCAAAAGTTTGTCAACCTCTATACTAAGATTATGAACAAAGCAAGTGGACCCAAAAACACAAGGAGGTAAAGGATGTAAGGACTAGTGAGGAAACAGGATAGAGTGAGATACCTGGTTATTAAGAGTAGAAGAGGGCATACGATTGATAAGAAAATAGGCTGTAAGGACAACATCGCCCAAAATTGATGAGGAACATTACCATGAAGAAGGAGAGTCCGAGTAATCTCAATAAGATGTCTATTCTTTCTTTCAACAACCCCATTTTGTTGAGGAGTATGTGTACAAGAGGTTTGATGAAAAGTGCCATTGCAAGCCATAAATGATTGAAAATATTGAGACAAATATTCTTTTGCATTATCATTATGTAAAATATGAATGGGAACACCAAATTAACTTTTAATTTCATGGTAAAAGGACTTAAAAATATAGAATAAGTCAGAACGATTTTTCATTAAAAACAATCAAGTACAACAAGAATAATCGTCAATGAAGGTAACAAAATACTTAAACCTTAAGGTAGACATAGTACGACTAGGACCCCAAATATCTGAATGGACCAAACTAAAAAGAGACACAACTCGTTGATTGACACGATTATGAAAAGAACTACAAATATGTTTTCCTAATTGACATGACTCACAAGACAAAGTAGATAATATGGAGAGACGCGACACCATTTGCTGGAGCTTTTGAAGACTAGGGTGACCCAACAGAGCATGAAGAAGGAGAGGAGAATCTACCACCGATCCAGCATGAGCCGAGGGACGAAGTTGATATAGTCCATGTGATTCACATCTGGTGCCAATCATCCACCTCAAAATTCGGTCCTGTAAAAACACAGAGTCTTTAGTGAAAGAAACTACACAGTCAAGAGAACGAGTAAGACAACTTATAGGGAGAAGATTAAAAGGAGACCCAGGAAAATATAAGACATTATTGATCAAAAGTGATGGAAGGGGATGAACAATACCAAGGCCTTAAGACTGTGTTTGAGACCCGTCAGCCATAGTAATAGAAGGTAAATAAGCAGAGGTGGATAGAGAAGAAAAAATAAACTTATTACTAGTAATGTGGTCAGTGGCGCCAGAGTCGAGGACCCATGGACCAAGAGAGGTAGAGTGAGAGATACTAGCAAAAGAATTACCTGTGTGTGCAACAGAAGCAATGGAAGTAGAGGCCTGGCGATCCTCATACCACTTGAGGAAATCAGAAAGGATAGCAGAAGGTGCCTGAGAAGCAGATGACAAAGTGGAAGTTTCAGGCAGAGGTAATGGAGCAGCCTGGACAGCATTCACGATCCGAGGGGGACAACCATGGAGAGCAAAGCACCGGTCTATGGTGTGACCAAGTTTGTGACAATGGTCACACTTGGGATGACCTTCACAAGGTTTGCGGAGGCGACTACGGTCACTATTCTGAGATACCAAAGTAGCGGGATCAATGGGGACAGGAGCGACATATGAGTCAGAAGGAGACTTGGGCGGTATGCGAAGTAAGGTGGACCAAGCAAAATTCATAGTAGGGACAGTAGGAGAGCCCAAAATCTGATCCTAAACCATAGGGTAATCAATAGGTAGCCCAACATAAAGAAGGTCTTGCATTGGTTCAATTCCTTTGCAGGGGTATCAACGGGAGACGAGTTCATTAAAGTCATGAAGAACACCACTGACCTTGCCCAAATATTTAGACATTGTTCC